CAGCATTACAATGGGTTCTGGTGAGGCACTTGAATGACTACTTCAGAAAACTGAAATAATAGTTTGTAACGTTACCTTCAGAACTTCATCTGAACCAAGCTTATGTCAGCAATATCAAATGCAACGTTAAGTTATGCGCTCCAAAAGAACTCTGAGGGAGATGCTCATTCTTTTCCCTTATAACATGCAGAAAAGAGACCGTTCGAGTAGTACCGTATTGACCCGAATATAAGACGATGTTTTTTTCTTGGAAATACATCTGAAAAAACGCGGTGGTCTTATATTCAGGGTCTAGACTTTGACATGTCAATAATACACCCACAACAATAGGTGGCGCCAAATACGCATGAAACGAGTGTGCCATGAAATACGTAATGTAATGCGTGCAACCTACTGCACGTCACCGGCATGACAGCTGACATAAAATAAGGATCGGGCTTAGGAGAGCCGATACCGATCAGTTAAATAAATACTTGATTGGTCCCGATCCCGAACCTTGAAACCAGCTCGGGACATCCCTAGTTTATTGTAAATGATTTATCTGTGCACATCATTTGCCGTTATAATCAGTAATCAAAAATAGTAAGGTGCAAGTCCCCTCTCAATGATGACGTGTGCACCAACACGAGGGCAGAACAATTAGGCTTTCTAAAAGCCAGATGAGTTTCAGTCATTAACCTCCAGCGGTCTGACACGCACATGTGACGATCAAAATTAGGAAACAACAATGACCCAGTCAGTTCCTGATAAACAAAACCAAGTTCTGTCCCGTGAAAAGTCGATCATAATTTCTGTTTCATGCCAACTTTATATATATATTTTTTTATTTATATTTGCACGTGGCGTGAATGTGCTTGTGTAGCACCAGGTTTGACTGCGTTGATGCCAAACAGCTTTGAATCTTGTATGTCTATAATGAAAGATCAGTAAAGTAGATAGAAAGATGTTTCTGGATGTCATGCAGTTAAGTATTTAATAGCTTATAGCATGATAATGTGTGGTATGCCGTGCTATGATTGGTCACTTTCAGTAGCAATCATGACCACGTTTCATTTATTTCAATGAGTCATGACCACATCTGCTGATGAACTTTAAGAAAAGTAAGAACTTCTTTGAATTGGTATTTGGTCTATAATGTCAATAGAACATTGTAAACACAGTACGACATCTCGACTGCAGCTGAAGACAGACAAAGGCACACTGTGAGTGTCACAGACTGCTGGATGATCTGAGTATGTTCAGGACGGAGTTGTTTGGGGTGTGTGAGTGGGACGCAGGCATGTGTGGAGTGGGAGTTGTTGGCATGCGTCGTCTCATTCAGACAGTATTGGGTGTGTTCACTATTGCGTGTTTGTGCGTGATTGCGAGGCCCATTTGCATGGTTTTGCATCTGATATGCCACAACCTTTTACATGATTTGCATTTCCATTCAGAAAACACCACAGAATTCAAAGAAAGCGTTTCAAGTGTCTCGGCCTCGATCACCATACTGTAACCTTCCCTCACACAGATCCCACACATACACACCAGTCACTTCAGATGCACCTAAACATGTCGTTGCAAGAGATAAAATTAAGTAACCTCTGTAAATACATTATACTAGAGCTTCACTTTTTAGAAACATTTTGCAGTGACATTTAATGTTGCAGTGAATTTAGTGGATGCGCTCACACAGGAGTCCTAGAGGAACCACACGTGTAGTGGGATAAAACCTGATTTATCATATTTGATATGCATTTTTAAATTCTACATTATCAACATGATGAAAACTTTGCTGAAAAACCTGTTGAACACAATCTACTGCATGCTTTCTGTCGTCTGATTGATAGCTCGTATTTTTTTCTTTTAGTATCATTATAAAAATGTCTTCCTTCGGCTTGTGGTTCACGTGTCTTTTTGTTGTCTAATCTTTACAGATTTTTATAAAGTAAACGTAAGAATAACTTTTATATTGTTATTAATATTTCAAGATGAACACTTACTGGACTGAAACAACTTAGCATTACTTGATTATCCATACATCATTTTTTAGAAAAATATCAAACAAGATCCATCAGGCTTTTGAGGAACGTTTTTGTTCGTTTCTCAATCAGTATTGTATTGCATTGCATTATATGTTTTGCTCCCCACATTAAAAACTACAGAGTTTTGATCATAAAGCTAAGTATTTATCATCTTACTAAGACCTGTTATTGGAGTGATGACTCTTTTATAAAGAGCTGATTGACTTTCATATCAGAATTTCATCTTACTTTTTAGTCATATAAATATCAGTACCTGCACAAAATTGCAGATACTCATGTATCAAATATTATAATCTACAAAAGCACATTTAAAACGTAGGTTCAGTAAATTTTCATTAATTTTTTTTAATTTTTTATAATAAATCAGAAACTATTATTACATATTGTCAGGCTTTCTAGGGTTAACTATGCGCCTCATCCACTGACGTTTGACAAACTGTATTGTGAAATGTTTTGTTTGAAAAGTGTCCTTATTCTATTTGAAAATTAAATGCCACATAGTTGATAGCTTTATTATCTAAATCAACATTATTCATAATTTTAAGTGGCTTAAAAGTCCAGATATGTTTTAGGGCCACCCATTTATCTTTGAATCTGACTGAAAATCTGAATCTGGGAAATTGCAAGTATGCTCAGTTTTAAAAGCATTTTTTTGTCAATTCAGACCAATTCAATTCGATTTGATACACTGATCAGTGTTTTGATTCAGCAGTTTTGTTTGACTTTTTACTGCAAAGCCCGTGATGGACTGATTGATGACAGGTTTTATGTCGTGGAGCAAACAATGGTCTTCTCAATGTAGTAAATGAAGTTCAAGAAGCAGAGATCCAGATGTCAAAATAAGACTTCATTGAACACTGCAACAAAGCTGAGATGACAGTCTTTGGCCGGTTTCAGGCCTCATTCATATGGGAAAATAAATCGGATATAAATCAGATATATGTGCCAATGCGACCGTCATGTAAACAGGCAGATGGGATTTTCTGAGGCATTGCGTTCTGTACGTCATTAAAACTGCCACAATTTGGTGCTTCTCCGTGGTTTAACGACGTCATATGTGACCCGTGCTGGCAAAATGAGTGTAAATTCGCACGGGCTATTTTGAGCTACAGGCAAAAAATGCTCCAAGTAGTAATTAAACATCTAAAATGATCTTTATTTGTACATTTTCTGAGAGGATTACCTTTTCTCCGCTCGCTTCTCGCGCTGACTGTCATCCGAAGTGCGTGCATATGACGGCGCGCGATCCCGATAAATACACACATATACTGTACAGAATTACAGTATTTCAGTATTCACGCAAACATAATCTGTTCTGTCTTAAGTGAACGCTTGGGGAACTGTTGGGGAAAAACATCTGTGTAACATTATATTAGATCCGTGCATTACAGTATAGGATGTCTGTCTCATTAATGTTAATCTAACAATAAAAGAAACGAGGGAATCACTCGCTGCACTTCATTGAACTGCTTTTGTAGTTTTAATAATCAGTTTATTTGTAATGAACACAGGTAAGTTATTTTTACATTTGATTATTTGTTTTTCGTACATGAATGCTTCAGTTTAGATTTAAAGTAATGCATTATTTGTTTCTTTCTAGGCTATTTGTTCTACTGGTTTTTTTTTGTTTTGTTTTTTGCATCCATTCTTATTTATAATAGCAAAGATAAAATAAAAAAATAGCTGTATTCTGATTATTAATAGTTAAAAATAAGAACTTCACTCTATCGACTTCAAACGGGTGTAGCTCAGTAATTTTTTGTCCGATTCCAACAAATCATAAATCATTTTGAAGGTCTTTTAATGGTGAATGTCAATTTATTAATTTTTTATTGCTCATTGTGACTCGTTTTGTCAGCACAGGTTACATTATTCTCAGGAGGAAGCACATGTGGAGGCGGTAAATGACAACAACGCATGCGCAATGTTTCAGATGGTATGGCAAGGGTAGACACATGAATCGGATATGGGTCACAAGTGAAAGAACGTGTAAATGGACAACCAAAAAAATCGGATATAGGCAATAAATCAGAATTGTGCATCAAGACCTGCAGTGTAAAACGAGGCCTTTGTGTGATCATACACTCATACTTATACCTTATTCTTACCAGTCTTTTTAACCAAAAGTTGGTAATCTGTTTTTTTTTTTTATTGGTTTCACTTTCATTGGTTTGCCACAATTAATTAATGCTCTTCCTGGCATATTTTCTAATGGTTAAATCTGGCCAGATTGGCCAGTTTTAAAATAATTTGTATTCCGCCGTCTCCTATTGGTTGGAATCATCCTCACGGGACATACGTCAAACTTGTTTGTGTTGTACCTGTCATATTGTGGAAATCACCCAAAGTTCACTCAAGTTCACTGGTACTGTCCACCTGTACCACACACTGGAAGGCACCTGAGACACAGTCTGTGTCGAGACATCCAATATTGGAACAATCATTGAAATAATCATCATATTGATTAGTCTTATCGATTATTGCTATAGTCATACATCATATTTTAAGTTAAAAAAAAACAGTTTCACTTGTGACAACTTGCCCCATAGAGTTTGAGAACATACTTCACATCATAAAAGTTCACAATCCTGAGAGTTTGAGAAGCAGTAAATGCAACTTTGTGCAATTTCAACAGAATGTGATTTATTTGGTTTTTAGCCTTTTAAATGATTTACTAGCCTGATTCACCATCCATTTTTCAGGATTGATGCTGCTGCTGAATCGGCAGAATCTTTTTCAATGATACATTGAAAAAGCAAAATATGACATACTACATCTGAATTGCATTTATGCTTTGCTAACAGGCTGTAAAACTTAATCTGCTGGAGAGAACTAATTTGTGAACAAGTCACCATTTCCATTCTGTCAATTCTGTAATCCATTCAAGCCTCTGCTGGACTGTGAAATGTGTTTTTCCTTTCAGAAACTCTCAGCTCTTATTTATGAGCATCAGCTTGACTGTGTTTGTGTTTGCAGGCAACATTTCCCTGGTAACGGCGTCCAGCTACAGCCCAGCCACCAAGATCACACTAGGAATGGTCAATTCCAATGTGGGAGCCCAGATGGTTAGTGTCACACAAACACACACAGTAGTGGTGCAGCGGATCACAAAATTCACAGTTCGGATCATATACGGATTTTGAGTCACGGATCGGATCATTTTCAGATCAGCAAAAAAACTAAAACCTTACTTTAAGTACTTCTATACCATAGCAAAAACTACTAGCTTAACTAATAAAGTTAGTAATAAAACAAGAACAATTACACAAATTACAAGCATAGATGAAAACAACAAATCACAGTTACAAATATCAGAATTTAGGTGCAGATTGCAGGAATGTAATTAAGTTTAACACAATAGTGCTTAAGTTAAATACAGATTAATCTTTGTCAGAGCTGTGGTGTTATTTGATTAGCAGACAGAAACCGGTATTTATTGGCTGCTGTCACTTTAAGACCAAATGCACGGCCCGGTCTAATACACTGACACACATCCGGTTTCTTTCTCACCCGTTTACGTTCACTTAAGAAATAACTGACTGCGTTTACTAGTAGTGGTTCAACAGATCACAAATCCCACGGTTCGGATCACATTACGGTTTTTGACCCACGGATCGGATAATTTTTCGGATCAGCAAGAAAAGTAAAATATTTCAATTTAACTTGCTTTCCATTTATTACTTAAAGCGAAGTACTTCTTTGATACCACAGCAAATACTACTAGATTAAGTAAGAAAGTTTAAACATGATTAAAGAGACAAGAGGACAGCCATTAAAAATAAGAACAAATACACAAATTACAAGCATAGATAAATACAACAGAATATGTTACAAATTAAATAAGGTTGGTAGTATTCAAATACAGAAATGTAATAATTATGGAAAATAACATTGCATAGTGTTCACTGTATAAAATAAATGTAGATTTTTATCACAGCTGTTTTGTTGTTTGATGATCATTAATGACAGCAGCAGTATTTATAGGCCGCTGTCCCTTTAAAACCTGATGTACGGAGCCGATATAATGATACACTTCACATCCAATTTCTTTCTCAGCGGTTTTCATTCACTTGAGACATAACTGACTGCGTTTACCTGAATGATTGTCGAGATGGGTATTTTGTCATAATTTTATGTGTCTGTTCAGAGGATTCAGAAGAGGATTCAGTTCGGTGTTTGCGCGCTTCATGTGTGCACGCGTAGAGAACAGAACAGCGCGCGAGTAACTAATCCGGTTCCCTTTCGCCTTTTCTCTCTGGAATTGTTTAAAATTCACTTGCTTGTGTAAATACGGACAAATGATAAACTTATACTCTATTATGGTTCAATTTTGCAATTAATCCGCGGATCACATGCGTGCCGAACCGTGGGGCCTGGTCCGTGCGGATCATCTACGATCCGTTGCACCACTAACACACAGCAAACATGCCCTTCATAATGCCTCAAACACCGATTCAAACCCAGGCTGCTGGCTCCTGACTGACTTAAATGGTCACAAAAGTGACAAAAGAAATGTACAAACGCAACAATTTGATGTATTCACCATTGGCAACAGTCTGGAAAACTTTATCACATTTTATTTCATGAGCATTTATGGTTGTTCTGTAAAGCTTTAAAATGATTCAGATGAAACATGATTGAGAATCTAGAATGCAAGTGGTAAAATACAAGAAGTAAAATGCAGTAAATCTGATAAACACAATGAGGAATATTGTTTTGAAATGCTACGATCTAAGGAAGCATTGCAATAAACATCTATGTATATTTCACGAAAGCATAAATGTACAGTGGGTGCGGAAAGTATTCCGAAATTTTTCACTCTTTGTTATATTGCAGCCATTTGCTAAAATCATTTAAGTTAATTTTTTTTCCTCATTAATGTATTCTTCAGTAAGTTTGTTTTAGCAGTGAACTGATTCACAGAAATGCGCAGCTTGAAAATACAGAAATGATTGACCAAAAATAAATCAAACATCTCTATTCTGACATCATTTTTGCTATTTAGTTTTGAACCGTATGAAAATATTGTTGTCACAATGCTGTACTCTCAAACCAAGAGCAGATTGTGAAACTTACTGCCTTAGTTTTTGGGATGCTTAATGGCCACTAAAACAAAACGCATAAATATACATGACATAATTTGTGAACATTGTGATGGTTTTTATGATATAATTGCAACACAAAATGACTACAGCATCATGCACAAAAAAATAAATAAACACTTTACAACAAGGTTTTTTTTAACTATACTAGTTAACTTGAACTTACAATGAAAAATACTTAAAGCATTTATTAATCTCAGTTTTAGACATTAATATCTTCAGGTTTAGATATTAAGATATTATTTGCTAGCACATTATTAAAATCAAAAGTTAATATTATTTAGAGGACATGAGCTAAAATGAGTAGGGCCTTTTGGTATATTTACTAAAAAAAGTATATTAAAAAAATTATATATATTAACTGACTTTAACAGATTAAAAATGACGGTCACGCTTTAGCTTGGGGACCAGTTCTCACTATTAACTCCCTATTAACGATGACTTTTGTCTCGATAAACTAATTTGCTTCTTATTAATAGTTAGTAAGATTGCTGTTAAGTTTAGGTATGGGGTTGGATTAAGAGATCTAAAATATGGTCATGCAGAATAAGGTATTAATATGTGCTTTATAATAAACCGCCAGTATGGTAGTAATATGCATGCTAGTTAATAGTGAGAATTGGTCCCCAAACTAATGTTACAATAAATACTGTAGAAAATGCTCTTTGTAAGTTAATGTTTTAAATGCATCAACTTAATGCCTTAAATTGTGCTGCAGTTCATGCTGTATCCAGTAGTGGGCAGTGAAATCCTTACTGTGCAAGACTGACTTTACTGCATGTGCTTGTCTGCTGTACATAGACAATAGAGAACGGGAGGGGGATGGAGAGAGCAGGGTGTTTATGGGTCAGTATGGCTGCACTGAGCTGAACAAAAGAGAGGAATGTGGAAAAGATGGAAACACACAACAGGGTTTAAAGGGAGCAGACAGAAAGATTGCTGTAAGGGGAGGAAATTTGAGGAGACCTTGATGAACTGAAGTCTAACAACAGAATGCCTGCCAGGAAGTATCTTTTTATAGATGCATAAATTTAAAGGTGAAATGTGTATTTATTTTATTTTTTTCAGTGTTATATGGTTTCATCCCGTACGCCGAGTTCACACTGCACGATTTTCAAAGACGTCGCATCACTGTTGGTTTCACACTGAACGACTATCTGGGGTAGCAGTCAGTCGCTGCTGTGTTCACACTGCACGATGGAATGACGACAGGAGGTTACACACTGCATGACTTTACAATAGGAACAATCGCCGACATCTCTGTCTGGTGCAGGGTTGCCAGGTTTTCGCTACAAAACCCGCCCAAGTACTACTCAAAACTAGCCTGTAAATAGCCCAATTGCTGTCGAGGGGGTCCCCCAGTAAAATTCGCGTTCGGGGGTAAAATACAAATTCTTTTTGGCGGGGTTCTCCTTGTACAATTCACATTCCAGAGCTTAAATATCACGTTATTGGGGTCACTTCAACCTGCTGACATAAAAAACAACCGGCGGCAATCGCGGATTTGGCAACACTGGTCCGCAAACTACGTTTCATATAACTCCTCCCCGAACTTCCCGCTGCCCTGTATCTTTGGATTCCATTTGAATGATTAAAGTAAATTTTTGTAAAAAGCAAAACATGTCTAATTAATTGAAATCATTAAACTTATACAATTTAACTACAATTTCTTAAAATTCCTATGAAAGATCCTAAAGATCCTGTTTTTATATTTTTTTCAACTTTAATTGTTCTGTATTCCGTTTTTTCCCCCCGTTTTAATTTCTCTGGACTAATTTTTAATGGTTAAATTAAATTGTATTAATCAAAAAGCATGTCTTATTAATTAAAATCATGAAACTTAAACAGTTTAACATCAATTTATTAAAAGTTTAACAAAAATTACATGTTTAGGGCCCTATGAAATGTTTTATTTTTTCCAACCTAATGTTTTATTGTTACCAAATTCTGTTTTAGCATGTCTAATTATTTGAAAGCATAAAAACAAGTTTAATTTATTCTTACAATAGCCTTATGATTTTTTGCTCAGAAATTCTGTGTTGTGTATTTACATTTTTAAGGCATAAAATATTCATTTAATCTTAGGGGAAATTAAACAAATTATTTTTTTGGGAAAATAAAGGTCATTTAATATTATTTATGATTATTCCTTAAAAATAAGGTTTTAATCATTGTAGTAGTAGTAGTAGTAGCCTATTACGTACATTCTACTGAAAAATAGTAATATATTTTGTTACAGATGCAAGTTTTGCAAGAACTTTTATTTTGACGGGTTGCCGTGAATACATTTACATTTCTGTGTGTATGTGATGTGAGGATAGTTTACTCAAAAGAAACGGTCAGATGCTGATGAAGTGACTCTCAGAGCAGTTCTGGAGATGTTGTTCATGTGTTTATGTCCTCATTAGTGAGACGGCAGACGCTAATATCACCGCAAGCATCACACGCGCTTCAGTACGAGTAGTAAACAAAACCGTGCATCTGTGCCATTCATTAACACAGACACACAAAGAATTCATATTAAAATAGTCGTTTTGCGGCTTAATATTTACAAATACTAGTTGGAGTGGGAGTGTGCTCACTTGTGTGTGTGTGTGTGTGTGTGTGTGTGTGTGTGTACTACATTGATTCCTATTACTCGGACAGGTGGGCATCTGTTTTGAAACTGAAATACATTTGAAGCTGCATTTTACATTTTTTAAATCATGGTTTTAAGGATTTTTTTCAGGATTTTCATCAGAATGTGTGGAAATATTCAAATGTGTGTTTTGCAGGGACGGACTGTGTTCGAGTGATTCCTCGTCCAGGTAAATGAGTTGAGTTCGGGGGTGCTGGGATCAATAACCAAACATGTCCTTAAATGGATGTGCCCGTGGGACAAGTGTGTGTGTGTGTGAGTGAGACTACAGCACTCTCTCTCTCACACACAATGATTTAAGAGGCTCAGGTGTTCTGCAGGACAGTGGAGGATCACAGCTGCACACAGTTGTGTTTCAGAGCTCCTGTGTCCCTAATGAGTTTCTCTGTTAACATACAAACACACTCACATGCTCTCCTTCAGCTGCTTCTGTCTTAATTGAACATGAATATATATATTTTTATTTTTTATTTTTTATTTTTTTTATTTTTTTGGAACCCGTGATGCTTTTTTTCAGGATTCTTTCATGAATAAAAAGTTCAAAAGAACAGCATTTATTCAAATTAGAAATATTTTCTAACAATATCTAGTCTTTATCACTGATCACGTTTTTTTAACAATTGAACATTAATAAAAGTATTTGTTTCTTTCAAAACAAGGCAGAAAAAAAATGTATTGACCCCCAAACTTTTAAACGGTAGTGTGTATTGTTGCAATCCATATTGGATCCGTTTCGGAGGGCATATATACCTGGTCTTTCGCGATCTGAGAGCTTGCTAAGTGTAAATAGGCCCGTGTGCATATTTATATTAGGGATGTAATGATTAACCGCGAGCCGGTTGAAAATCGATTCAAATATGTGACGTTTCAAATCGGTTGAGATGCTAAACAAATGGCGATTCAGTTAGGGGAAGGAGTTTATATGAATGTATGTCTGAGGGGAACTTATTGTGTTTAGATGGTATTTTTTCTTTTCCGCTTGCCTCTGTATAATGCATATCAGGGCTCCAGACTCATTCTTCCCACTGGTCGCTCTTTTGCAACTAACTTTCTCAGCTGGTCGCACGAGCACATGATTTGGTCACAATATATATATATATATATATATATATATATCTCACAGAAGAGAAAACACCCCACATTGTGTTGCTCGGAGATGCATTGATGGGGAAAAACAGAATTTCTTGTCTGTGTTTATTGTACATTTGCCATCGTGCAGATATTCGGAAAAACAGGACTCTAGTTTGTGTGATAGGCTAACTCCTATATCTTAGGCATTCACTCATTAAATGCAGGGTTCGTTCAACCAATACATTTCAATGACTTTTAAGACAATATTAATGACTTAATGCTCCATTATTTTACACAAATGTTCAGATTTATCATAGCATATGCTAAGGAAAATTAATGATTATTAATGCTATTTGTTTGCTTTCTAATAAGCACAGGCTGCGACTGTGCCAGACGTTACTTCATGCAGAGAACATAAGTTAGGCTACATAATCACATAACTGAATGCCAGAATGTTAAGTATATTGTCATTTGCTTTGCCAGTATTATAAATTAAACTCAGGACCTGAATTTCGTTTTAGAAACTGCTTTGGTGGAAAACATTCAGGTACAGAAATGCTGCAGAAATGGAATAAACTGTAAATTAAACAACAGATTAATTCTTTAAATTAAAGTTACAAAAGTTATTCAGTCGAGCAGTGAGTGATTTTGCCTTTTGTTGTTAACATTAATTAACAATAACCAATAGGCCTAATTAATTAACATTGTTAACATTAACATTTGGTATGAAAGTGAGTCAGCTTTTAGTATACTTGCTGTCTGTCAGTCTGTGTTAAAGAACAAAAAAAAATCATTCTGCTCTTGACTAAATAACTTTTTCATATTTAATATGGATTAATGTATAAATATAATCTATATCTATGACTTTAGACATCATAGTATTTTGTTCCTGAACAGTAGCAGCTACTGTTAGTTTTAGGCTAGCCTACCTGAGCAAGTTAAAGCACAGTTTGTTTCATTTGTATCCTTGTGCTATTGCTAACTTGTTCATTTATACTGACCGTTTAATTGTCTTTATGTAACATTATTTATTAAAATGCAAGGTTACTTGAGTCAAAAACAATTAAAACAATAACTTTTTCTCGAGGTGTTTGCGTGGCTTCATGTGCGCGCGCTTTGGATGTGACCGTGAGCGCCCAGAAAAGTAGTTTGGATAGCGCAAGTACCGAATGGTTTAAAAAGACTTAAAAAGACGTGCCAATCATAAACTTTTATGATGATGCAACACTGAACCGATTAGGCAAGTGACAGTCCTCTCAGCTGAGCGAAAGTCTTGTATGGCAGTGTGCAGCAGCTCTCTTAGTGCAGACGAGATGCGCTGATGTGAGGCAATTTTGAGAGTGAGAGCGAGAAGACGCGGTACAGCTGTACCACTCACGCTGTTTTCAAATGACTGACTTAATCTGATATTCTCTGTGAATTTTTTTTAAACTCATCTAACCTACATTGTATATTAAATAAATGTTTGCGGGATTTTTCCAACCGTGCGAAAATGAGTAAAACCAAAATGCGCAATCCCGCACCGAGATTCAGGACGTGATTAAACATATATTCTATTATATAGAGATTTGTAAAATAAATTTCCATGACTTTTCCAAAGCTTTCTGGGTTTTTCATGACCGTACGAACCCTGTAAATGGCTATTATTATTTTTTTTAATCGTTTTGATGAAATTTCTGCTCCACTTTGTGTGGAGGTAGTGAGACGGGACAAAGTCCCTGTAAGATATTAGGGTATTCTATAGTCTTTGGACGAGAGCGCTCAAAACTCTTCAGATTAATTTAGTGGAACATTAATATAATATAGAATCATCCTCTGTAAAGAAGTGAGGCATGAACATGTGAGAATGTATCATTATCTTTGTAAATGTGTGCTCTTTTGGGCTAAAGGCTTAATGGAACCGTTTAAAGTAGCCATGTGATCACTAATTAATCTGCGATTCGGCGCAGCGCAGACGTGATTTAATACGTGTCCTTTTTCTATGTGAAAAAAA